TATTTTAAAGATCAGTAAGTAGTTGTAATATTTTTAAGATTGAGTTTTAAAAGTAAACTTATATTATAAGAAGACAATGTCAGATTGCAAAGGAAATTTTCCTTCTTTTTATATTTTATATGCTTTAATTATATCAAAGCAATTTTAATATTCTTAATTAATTATAAATTATTATGCATATTTCTTTTATTTTTAAAATTATTCTAATGTATTCAAATGAATTCACATAACTTTAAACTGTTTTTAATGTAATCAAAATTTATTTTAATTTATTTTAATTTGTATGCTTTAATTATTTCGATATATTTTTAATATATTTGTTATTATTTAATATTTTTTTCTATTTCACATTATTAAATTAATTCTAATGTATTCGAATTATTTCACATTTCTTTAAATACTTTTAATGTACTCAAAAATTTTATCTTTTAAATATTTTGAATCATTTCACTTTTATTTAAATATTAACATATAATTTTAATGACTTTACTATTTTTAGTGTTTCTATATACTTTAAATTAATTTAATCTGCTTGTAAACAATTATCCTTATTTAGAAAATTTTTTCAATTATATGCATACTTGCATTATTTATTGTTTTTAAATTCGGCTTTAATTTTTATTATATGTTTTTATGCAATCAATTATTTAATACAAATATTTTAATTAATATTAAAGAAATTATAATATGACAAATAATTATAGCTAATTTATTTTTTAACAATAGGTAGCAAATGATGCAAAAGATTTCATATATAGAATTTAGCAATATTTTCTATACTTTAAATTAATTTACAATATTTCACAATATTTCGAATTATTTTTGAAGTTCATTATATTAATTTATTTGAAATTTTTCAAAAGTATGCGAATATATTTAAAATTTAGCAAGATATTCTAGTATTTTAGTAGCTATTTTAGCAAATTTGGTTACATTTTTTACAAACTAGATAAACTTAAATTTATTGCTTTTGCATGTTATAGAATTTCAATTTTTTTAAATATTTTCGCAAGTATGTGAACTTCTTGCAAGCTTATTAATATTTGATTTTTCTTTATTTTCAATTATTTCTTAATCATAATTTTTTAAAAATTTTCACAATATTTCAAATCTATTCGAAACTTCATAATATTCTCCATATGAATATGGTGATAATAAAGATAACTTAAAATAAATATACTATGTTATTAAGTTCTTAGAGATTTATTCTATTAAATAATTTATATTAATAAACTTTTTGCTATTAGCCAAAATTTTATTTAAAATTAATTTTACTATATTATGATTAAATATTTATTCTATTATTATTTTTTAATTTTAATAAACTTTGAAATATTCAAAAAAAATTATTTCAAAATATTTTGAAATATTTTTGAGTTCTTCAAATAATTTCTTAATTTATTTCACCTTATTTGCACTCCACATATTTAAATAAATTCTTTCACTATATTTCGAAATACTTTCGCTATGCAATAATTTTGAAAATTTTTTTCACAATATTGTGAAAATTTTTTTATAGTGCAATAATTTCAAAATTTATTTCGCAATATTTCAAAATATTTTGCATTTCACAAAAATTTCGAAATTTCTTTTGGATTATTTCAAAATTTTTGTACTATGCAAATTCTTTCAAAATATTTCGCATTTATAATTTTGCTAATGTAAACAAACTAAAGCTATACTTAATCGAACAATGCACTAATTACAACAATACAGATACACTAACCTGAACACAAATTCTATATACAATACTTCATATACTAAGAAAAAGAGAACCCAAATGGTATAAAACAATAACAAACATCATAAAACAAAACTTAGATGACAACAATTATAATCTGGTTACACCCAATCCATACATATTCATTTATCATCAAATGCTTGAAAAAGGAACATAGATAATAAAGCATAACATATTTATTAGCTACTTAGGATGTATATTATTAACAAAGGACAAACAAGCAAAGATTAATCACTAAACTATTGACAACACAACTAACAAACTAAAACCATACACAGGCTGTGAATAGAATAATCCCAAATTAAAAAAAGAAAAATGTACAAGAAAAGATGATATATACAATCTTCAAAAAATAGTAGTTAATAGCAACAAGATTATTAGAGCAAATATGAATAATCTAAAACAAACAACTAAATACAATAACAATAAAAAAACATTAAAGAACCAAAGCACACTGCTAAGACATTATGGACTAGCAAATAAAGCAATAAAAAATCCAGAAGCTGCTAACTACATACAAGACCTACAACAAAAATGCAAAGAGTATAAACACATTATATTTTAATTTATTCAAAAACAGCAAATAATCAACAATATACAGCAGGATACAATAGTATGCAACATCCTATTTATAAAGCAGCAATGCAAAATAATAGCTTCTGAATGGCACTCTATAACTAAAACACTAATTACAACTTTAATAATTAGTTCAATCATCATATCTCTTGGATCGAAGGTAGAAATTATTATAAACAAAATACAATTTATAAAACTAACAGAAATAATTAATACAACTACAACAGAAAACATATATCAAATATACTATCTAAACAACTGGCCAAGCTGGCTAATATAAAAAGCAATAGTTGCAAGAAAAAACTTATACTACATATTTACAGTTAATAATCCTATTCTTTACGCTACACAACTAGATTCTCCTATTATAGAAACAGACATAAATTATAAAAATATATAACATGACATCCTTTATCTTATATAGCAAAACAAACCAATCAAATACAACATTAGAAAATTCATCTATCATAATCACAATGCTAATCATATAGCATACTAGCAATTACAAGCAAGAATACAAATATGGGACACTAATCGCAAAAACCTAGATTGGAATTCCTTCTACAATTATCTAAATTATCAATGCACTCCAACACAAAGACAAACTAATTCCAAATACTTTCAACTAAAAGCCTTCAAAATAAAACTACTATTAGAAGAACTGCTGATACTAGAAGTCCTATATAAGTAAGATAACAAAAAATATTCTAATTCAACATGTATACGATGCCATAATACAACAGAAAGCAACTATCATTTGCTAACATGCAACTGCAATAACACAAGTTTAAGAAAAATAATAACTGAAACAGTAAACAAAATTCTGGCTAAGCAAAACATAATAGACAACAAAATACAACATCAAATAATAACAATAATTACTCAAAGCATATACTTAACTGATATACAAACTAAACTAACAAGAGTAACATTGGAGATGTTAGCACAAAACAACACAAAACATATAAACAAAATAGCACAAGTACCAAAATCAAAATACAATTTATCAGTTTACCTAATGCATAAAATCACACAAAGAATATATAAAAAAATATAGTTATTACGATGCCAAGAACAATATAATACATCAAACATACCTAGTATAACAAAGTTACAAAAAGCTAGCAGAAATGCAACAACAGTCTTAACAACTATAGCTAACATACATGATACTATACTAACAGATCTAAAAAAAGAAATTAAACTTGAAATTTGGAAAAAACTATTCATTAACTACAATACATCATCAAATTATATTAATACAATAGTAAACTAAGTGGGGACTTTGACCCTTTTTAGCAAAGTTTGGGTTGTAGGTAAATTAGCCTAAGCTTTAGTTTTCAAAGATTAAATAATATATACTACAGATCAAAATGTATTTAGATATTAATAATCAATAAAGAAACTGAGACAAGATCTCACTTTTTAAACAAAAAAAAAAAAAAATAGATGCTAGAATCTAAGTGAATTCTATAAAGGCAAAGCAGTTTAATGATTAAGTTCTGACTGCAAGTATTGGTTCTGCTATAGTGATATCTTGGTTAGTTGTAAAAATGGATACAGAAGGCTCTAAGAGGTTTACCTTAAGGATAAATTAGTTCTAAGATTAAGATGATGATCTGGGCATCTGAGTATGACCTAGTGAGTTAATACAGGTTACAGGTTCAGAGAGTTTAAATTGAAACACACAAGCAGAGATGTTAGATACAGAAATTGGTAGGAAACCTTTAGGCAAACTTCTTAAATAAGTAATATAAAAAAGTTATATGTGTAACTAATTATATGTTCTTCTGTAATGGTTCATTGAATCACAATACCAATAAGTGATTAATAAAAATCAAAAGACCAAAAAGATCACCTTAAAAAAAAACAAAAAAAAAAGAATATTAATAAAGTATTAACATAATTGCTTAAAATTTAAAAAAAAAAACATTTATTATTAAAACTTTGGATTTTTAACAATTTTAAAATTTCATGTTTTTATTATGTTTTTATATTATATTAAAACTTAAATTTTTTTATAAAATAAATTTTTTTATTTTTTTAATTTAATTTTAAAATCAAATTTACAAATTTTATATATTTTATATATGAAATTTTGAATTATAAACTTCATAATTTTAAAAAAAATAAATCTCAATTTGTTCGTCTCAATGAAACTCACATATTATAGAATATAATATTGAATTTACTGATTATATTAAAAAAAAGAATATTGATTTTTACATTTATATAAATTTTTTTTAAAAATACTGTACGTATAAGTATTCAAACTTTAACCTGGCTGAGCTGTAAAAACCAATTCATGAATTTTGTATTGCCTAAATTTACATTTATAAATATTCTCTAAAGGTGCTAATAGGGGAATTGAAAAATGGCTTATTTTAATGGAATTTTTAGATACTGATTTTTATTATGTTAAATTATAAATGAAATCAGATTTTGTTTTTAATTTTGAAACTTGCGTATACTAAAGTATTTAAAAGACTGCAATTTCTTCCCTGCCTTAAAAGTTATTAGAAATATGCTGGAAAAAATATACAGTATATTTGTACAGATAATAGTTTAGTCCAAAAGACTTTTGTATTTTTAGACAAAGTAAAAATTTAATCTCATTTAACAAACTAATTTAAAATTAACTCGGAAATCTCTCTCCGATGCTTTATACAAATGCCTTTTCATTATGTGTCACGAGGTATCACGACTTGAAAATTCTATTACATAAAAAAATGTGGTGGGTGGCGAGAATACTCAAGGAATTCCGGAAATGATTCAGACTGAAATAAAAGACGAGTTTCCTAAAAGTATTGAAGGGTTTGGATATCGCTTTAACGAAGAAGGGCAATTAAGGGATATTGAAACAAGTTTGTTATAGACGTGTTTCTTTCTTAAAGCTTTTTAATTTTTAGCATATTGCATTTTGTAAACACTTTGAGCGGAACTTTGTTTTTAGACGAAGGATTCGAATTTTATGTCAAGCCTGACGATAACACCTACAACCAAACTCGCTATGAGAGATTGGGTGGTACGGTTATTAGGTTTACTTTTCAAAGACCTTATAAAGCTAAAATTTGACGTAATTTATGTGATTCAATTATTCATTAATAATATATTTGAAGAGGCCATTGGTGAATATATCGAAAATGAACTGGTATCAAAGTATAATCTCAAGAGACAAATAATTCCATTGAGATCTGATGACGATAAAGAAGAGGAAGAGGAGGAAGAATCGCTTAAGAGTAGAATTTACCTCAGGTGTATATATATTATATAATAAAATGTATAAAAAATTCTATTTTATTGAATGCTATTTTGCCATTGTAAATAGTGAGGATGCTCTTGAGTGTCAAAACTTATTACTGATTATTCAAGGAAGTGGTGTTGTGCGTCCTGGACAATGGGCACGAAGAGGTTTTGTGATCTCTTTTTTCTTAATGAATTTTAACGTTATAATAAACTTATTACGACATACAAGTATTATTTAACTAGTGATTATTAACGATTGTCTCGAGGTTATTATTTCTGTTACTTTACGTGTTTTCTTTTTATTGTCAACTTTACACGTTTCCATATTATGCTAAAAAGATTATTATATAATGATTTTTTTGTTTTACCATTTATTATACGTCATATCAAGCTTGGAACTATGTTTCCATATATTCAAAAGGCGCAAGATTTGAATTGGGGTATTATAGTATTCAATCCTAATGAAAATTTTAGAGCTGTAATAAAAGATGGTGAAGTAAGTTAAATATCTTCAAGAACTCCCACTAGTAATGCATTTTCACTCAGATACATTTATTGTTTTTAAGGTCATTAAACGTGTATATGTACGAGGCTCAGAATCACCGCAAAAACACTGTATTTACGTATGGAATAATTTTGTCACGTACAGTATTCCTATTATAATGATGATTATATTATATTTGATCAAGCTTTAGAATCATTCTTACATCAATTTTTTACGTTGGTATTCCTTAGTAAAGCTAAAGCGGAAAAGATTTTGATCATGGGTTATAGCTTTGGTGGAATTAATATCACTTGTTTATTGGATGAATTTGGTAAAGCAATGATTTTTTCGTGAGGCACAAGGCGTGATCTCAGATCAGTCACGCTAAATCGTCACATGGAAACAATTAGTTACATGTGACGTTTTAATGCCCCATGTGATGGTTTTCCACGTCCCCAACCTAATTGTGAGTTGTATCTATTGACAATTTATCTCTATTTAGCTGATGAATTCAAATCTCGTGTTGCCGGCGTTGCGCTTGCAGACAGCGTACACAGCATTTCAATGATTCCTTCACATTCTAAAAGTTGGTTCGACAAGAATGTATTTAATTGGATCAAATCTGAATTACCTTTGAACATGAAGGTGCCAAATACAAGAATTTATTATGGGTGTCCGTGTCTTTCAGCAGGTAAAATGCCCGTCCTTTTATTTTTATTTTTTTCTTTTTTATGACGAAGTGATTATATTATTGACACGTTATGAACACATAAAGGACATTCAAAGCATGAATATGCTGCTGGCACTGCTATTCAATCAATTTTTGAATATTTGCAACATGTTTTAGAGAAAAAGTCATCCATCCAAAATGAAGAGCCTGGAACTGATAAAGAATCCATGGAAATAGGTGAAACAGAAAAGACAGGAGAAATGGAAGGAATTGAAAAAACGAATGAAACTAAAAACACTGAAGAGACAGGAGAAATGGAAGGAATAGAAAAAACGAATGAAACTAAAAACACTGAAGAGACAGAAGAAACTGAAAAAACGAATGAAACTGAAAAAATTGATGGAATGAAAAAAACTGATGAACCGGAAAAAATTGATGAACCGGGAAAAACTGATGAAACGGGAAAAACTGATGATACGGATAAAAAGGTTGAAATGGGAAAAACTGATGAAATGGAGAAAACTAATGAAATGGAGAGAACTGATGAAATGGAGAAAACTAATGAAATGGGAAAGACTGATGAAATGGAGGAAGTGAAAGAAATAGAAAAAAGCGGCGATAAAAATAAGTTGGAAGTATAAAAGTATTTGATCTTGAACTCATGCCGCCTAATAGTGTAATAATAAAGTTGAATTAATCTAATAACTGGATTTTCGGAAAAATCATATTAGCTATTATACAAATTATTTTGGCCATAATATAATTTAATACAGTAATAGCACAGCATCATTTGGCATTTGTTTAATGTTAGAATTTACTATAATTATAGTAATAAAGAATCATTCGCTTAATTTACCTTCACGTGTCAAATGGGATTGTGCCAAGGATTTCGGAAAATCATGAACCCTTAAAAGTGATAAATTGATGGCGCTAGTTTAATGGAGCAACCAAAATTCAGCAGATTGACCAAGATCCGGGTCGGAATAAACCAGAATTGATAAATTTCCCCAAAATTTTACTAATAAAATGGTAGCCAACGTATTATGTAAAGCTGCATGTAATTTTGCGTAAATTTCAGTAACATGATTTCGTATTAACATTATGAAAAATTTGGCTAGCATTACCAGGCTACAATAGATTCTGCACAAATTCTATTTTGAATAATTTGATTGGTAATCTAATAATTCTAGAATATTCTAAATTTTCATGATTACATGATATTATCAACGTATTATGGGCGTGAATCTATGATGTCCTCGGCTTTAAATTTACATAAAAAATAGCATTACAAAAAATGCTACTTCTTTTTTAAAAGACAATAAAATAAAAAAATAATCCACAATATTTGTTCTTCTAGCTTTTAAGAACAAAACTTGTGGTTTGAATTTAAATTTAAACCAAATTTAAAGAAGTAGTAGCCTTTTGAACTTGGCCCATTTTATTAGAAATTTTCAATAAAGTGAACAGTTAAACTTTAATGTCAACCAATCAGAATGTATTATGCCATGTCATGTGCCTAATTTAGTCCAATCATGATGAACCCACGTGACCATACTTTGTCACGTTAGTTTAACTAATGCACCTTCGCTTGCTGTAACGATAGTTCTACATGTTTTTTTTATAATTTACATTAGATAATATAAACAAATTGTTAATATGCCTTATCCAAAAGTTAAACCTCGTATTGCATCAGGCAAGACCTGTACTAAGATCAGTACCTTTACAACAAGATCAGATGCTAATATTGAAGAAAGTGTAGATAATGTAGAAATATACAAATGTTAGAAAACTGAGAGTTATTTGAAGTAACTTGTGAGGGTTTGTAAAATTATGCCTTAAAGGCTTTAGAATGGTATTAGAGTGTTAATAAAGATCTAAATTCTTTTTCAATATTAGTGTATGTTTTATAGTCTTTGTAAACTTTTTAAGTTTATTGTCTTTACAATAAATTATGATTATAAAAGTTTGGTGACTTAATGAAATAAATAAATTGTCAACTCTTTAAGTAATAAGTTGAATGTTCAAATCCTATCAATAATAAAATTTGGATAAAGGTCTATATAATACTTGTATTATAGTAACTGTTTTAATTATTAGTTTAAGATACTTGTAATAGCAGTTATATTAGTATAATTGACAAGTTATAAAGTATTTGTATAACTGGTTACATAGAGGAATACAAACTGGCATCAGACAATACAAACTTTAGATAAGTTCTTGTAGTTGTATAAATCTATTAAAATTAAAAAACAAAAAGTCTATTTGAAAAGATCTAAATAAAAAAGTAACATAGATCTTTAACTGTACTATTGTAAAAACTAAACTACTAAAAACAGATATTAATATTGAAGTATTTGAATAGGTAAAACTTTTGGGTTAGAAGTCTTAGAAATATCATCAATTAGGTTACTAATACAAACCAAAAAAAAAAGAATATTAGACTGATCTAATATATCAATAGATTGATTATAATTATATACAAACTATTTGAATTAGAAGTTTAAAAAACAAACAATAGTATACTAAAGTATTAGAAATATACTATAAAGTAAATGCTAAGGTTTAAGTGAACTCTATAAGAGTATAATAGTTAAAGATAAAATTCTAATTGTAAGTATTAGTTCTGTTATAACAATATCAGACCAGTTATAAAAATAAGTATAGAAGGATTAAAAAGTTTATCTCAAAGATAAAATAGTCTTAAGATTAAAATAATAATTTAAATATAATTTAGTAATATTAAAACAGATGCAGATTCAAAAGATTTAAAATAAAACATCTAAGAAAAATATCAAACATTAGATAATTTTTTAGAGAAGAAAGAGATAAAAAAGTTGAAATATATATAAAGAACCTGACTATTTATATATTAAAAGAAAAAAGAAAAGTAGGTTTCTGATAAAAAATAATCAGATGATTAATGATATAGTCCTAAGCAGAGATGTTAAATATAATAATTAGTATAAACTCTTTAGACAAACTTCTTAAATCGATAATATAAAAAAGTTATATATATAATTAGGATTCTGCAAATGCTCATGCTAGGCAAATTGGCACTATGCCAGGCATTAGTGCCTCATACTATGCCCATACCTATAGGCTCAAAGTGCCAGGAATTATTATAGGCATAGGCACAAATGCCAGGCATTTTTATAATCATAAGTACAAAAATGCCAGGTACTTTATAGATATAGACACAATATACTAGGCAAAAAGATGCCAAAAAGTGCCAGGCACAAGTGCCAAATAATACTAAACATATAATTAATTAATAAATACTAAATTTTTGTGCCTATACCCATGCCTATGCCAAGTTTTCATATCTGTGTCTATGCCTATGCCAAGTTTTTGTGCCTATACTCATGCTTATACAAAATGTTTATATTAGCATTTATGCCCATGCCAAAGCTTTCATGTTCATGCCTATACCTGAATTTTTGTTGGGCATAGGCATGAGCCCGGGTTGCAGATTCCTATATATAATTAATTATATACTCTTTTTATAGTAATTTATAGAATTATATTATCAAAAAAAATATTCACAATATAATAAGACTACTGGGTGTATAACTCTAAGAAACTGAAGCATGGAAATCTACTTGGAAATTCTAAGTAAAGAGGTAGTATAAATTTTCAATAGTATTATCAGACTATCAGAAGCCTTAGAAGGAATAACTAAGATAGAACGAATAACAATATATGTAGAGGAGCATATACCAACCAGGTCATCATAAATCACCAGAAGAAAAGGATCTTAGAATACCATACTAGGCTATCTAAATTAGTAGTCTAAGAAATCTTGTAGTTCAGAGTAAGAGGAAGATGTTAGAAAAGAAAGGTATTAAAGTTTTAGTGAACTTTACAAAAGTATAACAGTTTAATAGTTAGTTCTGACTGCAAGTGATGGCCTAGGCCAAAGTAGTATTGGGTTAGCTGTAAGTATGAGATACAGAAGGCTCTAATGAACTTAGTATAAAGTTAAACATAACTTAGTAACTATAGTATATTTGTAGTAACCATGCAGTTAATAAAATAAAGATGAATATGAGAACTAAACTGTTTAAATAGAGAATTCACAGATGGGTTTTAGGTATAACAACTAGTATAGACCCTTTGAATAAACTACTTAAAATAGATAATGGCTAAAGTTGTATAAGTGGCTAATTGTACATTCTTTTTATAATTGCCTCTGTAGCTGTTATATATAATAGTTATATGTCAACTGATTATTAATAAACTCTTAGATCACAATTACTTGTCTTAACATTAAAAAAAAAAAATTCACAAATTTTCAATTCATATAGCTCTTCATTAAACTATAATGCAAATAATCTACTACTATTACTTATTCAAAGTATATTAAATTCAAATAATTACAAATAACTACAGTTTATTCTTAAAAAATTAACAACTTTTTTATTTTATTATTAAACTCTATACTCACTTAGTTCAATTCTACTATCTGGCAAATACAAAATATTAAACAATATAAATATGAGTTAGCATAAGAAATTATTGTTTTGACAAAAAAAAACAATATTTACTTATCTATTTTAAAACCAACAAACTCTAATAATACTACTTTCATTTTTGATACTAATATAGAATCTTTTATTATTAAACTTCTTTTTTAAAATTTTATTATATATATTTGTTTTTATTAAATTAACAATTTTAAGGATTTTTTTACTTATTTTATAGTTAAATATTAACAATAGTTAATTTAACTAATAACAAAAAATAAGAGAATAATATTATACTAAATATAGTAAAATATATATATAGCAACAATAATCTAGTTTAGAAAGAATTCTTTAGTTATACATTATATCTAATTAGTAAATTTATGTATTATTATTTTTCTACTTAATATAAAAGCTTTGCTAGCAAAATAATTTTTTGAGTTATTATTACACAAGATTTTAATTAGAAAAATTATAACAAATTTATTTTTAGTAAAAAAAATTTATAGCAAAGATTCTATATTATATTAATAATGATAATAAAAAAAAAATTATTAATAAAAATCAAAAGACTAAAGAAATCACTTTAACTATAAAAAATAAATAAATAATAATTATATAAATATTTAAAAAACTTATAAACAAATCTTTGAAAAAAAAATTATAAGAATAACTTTAATAGAAAATTAAGCAGATAAGAACTTAAAGAAAATGTAGATTATAAAATTTATAATTTAAGAGAAATACTATTAATATTGCATTATAATAAATATAAAGAATATAAAGATACTATTATTTAGTCTTAATAATTAATTTTTTTTTTTAGTATTAAGGTAAGGTTATGTCTTCTAGTTTTTATTAATATATTTGTTATAATTAGTACAATTCTATATTATACATTATCTATTACTATATATCTATTTAGATATAGAACTCAGATGTATTTATCTGTAATCTAAACTTACTAGAGTTTTGTATTATATCCTACTTACACCTAATCTGAATTTTTGTTTTACTACTAATTATATTAAATAATCTGCATATTCACTCTATATCTTACAACCTATTTTTAATAACTTTTAAATTGGTTCAATAGGTTATTTGCTTCTTTTGAACTTTCATCTTTGGTTTGCCTGAAGAGTGTTTCTTTAGCATGTATCTCAAGCTAGGTCTTGCTGCTACTGCTTACTTCTTAATTCAGATACTAGTAATATATATTTTAAGCCAAGTTAATTCTTCTTGGTCTTAACATTATTTTTAACAGATTGTATATCTAATCTGTCTTTTAAATACTTTCTTTTATAATATAAATGGAACTATATTTTAGAAATAGACAATCATTTTCTTCTAGCTATTAGCTGATGTTTTTATTATCATCACTCAGTGTTGCAAGTTTTTCTTTGCTCTGTTTCTAACTATAGGCAATCTTTTTGCCTTTTTAAAAATATCCTAGTCTGAATCTAAATTTAAACTAAGATGTCTACACTGTGTTCAAGTAGATTTTCACTTTCAATTTAGCTATTTCAATCTTGATTGGTATAGTATTTATATTGATATATTTTACTTATTTTATCATAGGCTTCTATATAAGTATAATCAAAGCTCTAGTTTGGAACTTTAAATATACAAAACAGGATACAACTTTTTTATATAAATGGCTACCTTTATTTTCAGTTATTTCACAATGCCAGAAGTGCTTTCAATCTTGATAAGGCTAATCTTTTACTATAAACCTTCTATGCATACACTATTTATCTTAGCATTCTGATTTCTGTTACCTTGGTATCATCTTTCTAATCAAGTATTTCACAAATTAGATGCAGAAATATTGGTACTGCCTTATCTTCAGAGAACTTACATGCACAACACTTTGTAAAATGAAACTTTTTGTAACATCTATATTACATATAGTGCCTATATTTTGTAAAGTTAATTTTCTTTTAGGAATTTTTTTTCTATTATATATTATATTTGAACTTGATTACAAAGCTTTGTATTTATTTACTGACTTCTTATAAGTTACAGAAACTAAAATCTTTTAATTTTGTCTTCAGCTAGACTTAAACTGTTAACCTTAACTATAGAGGTTTGGGAACTTAACCACTAAGCTATAGAACCTATACTCATAATAATTAATTAAAAATTATTATAATAAATTAAAACATAAACTTTATAGTTTTTAAAATATAAAAAAAAAATAACAAGATTACAACCTTATAAAGTATAAAGGTTTGTATTTGTTTATTAGTATTTTAGATTATTTTAAATAATAAAAAAAATAAAGCTTCAAACCAAGTTGTAAATATTTTTTGAAAAGATATTTAAAATATAAATTATTTATTATATTGTATTAAAAAACAGACAAAGAATTTTCTTGTTCAAAGTTTTTTGTTAAGTTATTAACAAGAAAACTATTTAAAAAGATTATTATTATTTAGTAATAAGAATATTAGTTTAGCAATTTGTATTTGTTTATATTCTGTTTTTTTAAAAGATTATTCTAATTGTAATAATAAAAACTCTTTTTTGTATTTATTTATAAAAAACTCTTTTTTGTTCACTACTGATTTGAACAGGATTTTATCATTGACAAAATAAAAACTAACAAAAAAAACAAAGACCCTTTATTTTTTACTAGAACTAGACCAAAGGCTCTTGTTTCTAAGAAACATGAACTTATACCACTTAATTTTTGAAAACACAAAAGAGTTTTACTTGAAACAACCTTCCTTTTAAACAAGCAAACTATGAAATATGAGACAAGCCTCTTCTTAAACAATAATACAAACTGAGATGAACAAGTAGAACAAGAACTAAAAAAAAGTGCTATCTTAGCAACAGAATATGAAAGTAATATCACAAAGAAAAACAGTAGTGAAATCCAAAAGCTGGAACAGCTGAAAAAATAATGTCACAAGCAAAAAACTGACAACAACAAAGACATGTACATATGAAACATTATATGATAATAAACAAGAAAGTTATGTGGCAAATGCAGAAACATATACTGAAGCACAAGCTGAGATACACAATGAAGCATGTGCTAATCTATATACCAAAGCATATACTAACACAAATACAGCTTAAGGGAGCAAAAAGCAATAGTTCAGTCTTTTACAAAACTAAAAAAAGGGCAGTCTATATACTCTGTTTCATTATTTAGGAATTCTATTAAGTCAAAAAATAATAATACTTTGGTCTTTGACATCAAAAGCTTGAACCATTCCTTTAATGAAATTATGATCTCTTTATATAAAGATGTAGAACAAGATGTAGTTGCTGCAAAACAGCACTTTGTCAAAGGTAACAGAACACACTTAGAACTAGCATTTGCTAATAATGAATGGCTTAAATACTATGCTAGCAAGGGCATAGTAATCTTTAATCAAACTTATTATAGATTCATTCTTACAGATAACAGAAAATCTTTCCTTCCAGTCAAGATTAGAAATATGCCACTTAATAACAAAGAATGAGTCTCTAAGGCAATTTTGGAAATTTTTAAAAGCTTCAGTAAAATTACAGCCATTAAATTACTTCTTATTAAGAGGATCTCTTATGCAACTGACCAATAGGTTATAATCTTTGAAACAACTGATAATTCAGAACTTAAGTTTAGAATCCTATGTTATATCTTTTTATGAGACAACAAAGTCACAACTGAATGGAAGTTAGTCCCAAAGGTTTGCTTCTTTTATGACAAGGAAAGACATCTAAAAAAAGACTGTAAACAATTCAAGAAGGCAGTTGAACTTAGATAACAATACAAGAAGTACCAAGAAAACAAGACCAAAAGGATAATAGAATGCCTACACAATGTTTTAAAAACTTCCAACATGCAAAACAAATTATCAAACAAGATAACATCTCAAAAAAAAGAATCTAGTCACTCAAGAATATAAAGTTAATACAGTTACTATTTTACAATTTAATGAGAAATTTCTTGCTTGGGCAAGTAATTAGTTAAATTTAAAAATAAATAACAGAGAATTCCTAAACCAACCAGAAGCTCTGCCAAATATGAACAAAGAAATTTTGTATATCTC